TATCCTTAGTGTATTGTGCTGACATATCAATTAAAGTTATGTTTTTGATTTGTTTATGTTGTCAAACCTTAAATCTATCTATTCTTTTTTGCTTTTTGAAACAGGGAACTGAAATATTCTCAGCTGTTTACCTCCAGTAACTACTCCTCATCCTCTCCCTCACTGTCTGTACCACACTGAGTGAGTGGGTGCTGATAGAACATGTGCGATCTCTCAGCGTAATGCACTGCAGCGTTAAAGATCAGGTTGTTAACACCATGATCAGGGACTGCATTAGTGGCACTGGGCACTCCTTCACTGTAATGCTGGAATGGCATAATTGACTTACTCAACACATACACCCACACTTGGACACATACACACACATTTCCACACAATTGATGCTTGGGAGCATGGACAGATGCACACACATACATACACTCCATGGTTTGCCCCTGCCTCCATTCACACACCCACGCTCACTCCCACGCTATTGAAACTCAAAAGCTGATGGGTGCAATTTTAATCAAAATTAAAGCCCACATGCTGTGAATTTAAATAAGTCTATTAGCAGACTCATTAACTGTTGTTTGTTTAAGTTTTTTTACTTGACTTTATATTCTCTGTACTTTTTACAGCTAATGCCTCTGGTGGTGTTTTCTCTTGTCTTTGTCTTTTCTCTCACTGTCTTTCAAGAGACTTACTAAGCGTATAGAGCCAGAACATCTGCCAGACCTGCAGAGACATCTGCACAACTTCAATTGTTTCTCTGAATCGAGTTGTTAGTAACTGTTGTTTTCTGTCTGGGATACTGTCTTGGATTCAGAAAACTAAAAGTTTCTTGTGTGGTGTGCGTGTGTATGGGTGTATGTGTTTGTGTGTGCAGTCAAGTGTCTGCCCAATATTTTCCCAATGTACACGTATGGATGTGTTCTTTACACGTTTTGCAAATTAACTTTGCTATTCTAATATCTATAGCTATAGCTATCTATAATTGAGATTTATCTCATTTTCTTATTCCTTATAGACAGAGAGGGAATATGGAACGCAGCCAGCGATATGGGAGAGACAAACAAATGGAAAGGGGGACCAGACAGAGACAACCTGGTATTCGCAACAATGGTCTCACAGATAGAGCTGATAGTAGCCAGACCGTCCCAATGAGAGCTGTGTGCGTAAGAGAGCACATTTGAGTGGTGAGGAGCTTGATGAGGATTGCACACAGCTAGTGAACAATGGGTAGAAGGAAACAGGTTGAGCCAGAAAAGGAAAGGGATAAATCACGTCAGGGGACAGAGGAAGTGAGAGTGAGAATGATAGAACAGTTACTAACGAGACAATGGCAGAAAGAGACGCAATGGGGTCTTGTCTGCTGCAGGTGCTGTTGGCTCTGCCTCTGTGCACAATGCGTGTGTGTCGTTGTCTGTGTGCATACATTTTATACAATCTTATTACATTTTTTAAGTATCCTAATTTTGGCTGTAGCCACTCAAGATGTGTAGAGGTCAAATCTTGGTTCCCTCTACACTGAAAGTTATTTTGTTTGCCAACAAGCAAGTCTGACAACATCTAACTCATGACTCATGAAAAAGTCTTTTTACAGCTCCCTGTAGCTCCATTTTGCTCATTACACCATTTACAGGGAGATAATGTGGGCTTGGTAAAGCTGTTGAATGATTTGAAAAGAATGAACATTTTGGCTGAAAAGGAACCAAAGAAATGAATTAATGAAGTGTTAAGAATAACTGACTAATCACAAAGATAAGAACAGGTGTACTAAAGGGCACTTTAAGTTGAAAGTAAAGTTCTGAGGTCATTCGTGTATTCTTTGCAATGCTTGTTTTGGAAGGATTTCTCTAGACTGGCAAACAACATACTGAAAGTGACCTGGAGACATTGTGAAGGTGATAATCGGGTGTAATTAAGGCTGTCTCTGGACACCATGGCCTGCTTTGGCAGGGAATAAAGATACAGTTGCCAGAGGAAGAGAGGTCAGGTGCAGACAGAGCAAGTAAGAGATGGGTGAATAGGACACGTAAGCAATTCTCTGCATTGAGAAGCTGTGCCAGAGTTTCCCACCGCCTGAAGGTCGTCAATCCTGCAACCTCACCAGATTTAATGCCATGGGACACTCTCTAATGTCAGTGGCAACAGTGTTTTGATCACAGTTCAAATACAGACAAAGTCTATAGATATATAAATATACTTTATTGATCCCAAGCTGGGAAAATGCTAGGAATCCCTCACAGTGCTTGTTCAATCTTTGTGTTCATCACTATAACCATACTCTTTTTAAATACAGTCCAATCCACTGTTTTAGAATATTGATGGCTGCTTTAAACCGAATATGTCTCCTATGCTGCTGATACAGCAGTTTGACGCCTTTTTTTATATTGTATCATTACGTGTCCATCCTTTTCTTTTGTCTAGTTCTATCGTATTCTATAATTTGTCATTTTGCCTTGTTGTGTTATATCCCTATATCCTTATAGACCTTCCCCGACTTTCTTGGTTTCCTGGGAACTCATTTATACGCCTTTTGTAGGGATGCTGGTCACCCTTATTCAGCATGGCTGGTTTGAGCTGGCTGGCTAACCTTAGCTTGCTCTCTAACATTATCGGCAGAAAAAAATACTGCCACTGGTTTCGCTATTAACAATAGTTTTCTGAAAGTTACATATAGAACCTTTAAAGATAGTTAAACTATGAGGTTTTTTTTTATCCTGCCTGTTGGCTAAATACCATTATTGTGAAGCACTTTATCTTTGTATTGAAAAGCGTTTTTAAATAAATATTTATTTGCTTCCATACCAGTTTCACTGTCAGAGCTGACCTGTCAGGTTAAAAGACATTTTTTAATTAGATATTTTGAAGAGAGTTTGAAATTTCTCCCTCACTTCCTTGGTTGTTAATTTTTCTATCCTAAAAGCACAAGGTTGTAGTGGTTCCCCAAAGCAATGCAGCAAAACTGAAATAAAAAAGTCCTTGTCAAAGTCAACTAATTTAGATTCTGTTCAGCCCGGTGCACTGAAAAGAATAGGTACCATTCTGGTTGTAGAAAATGGCTGGTATCCCAAACATCGTAAAGGTCAATGTAGATCAGATTTTCACAATTGGTAGGTCAAGACCCAAAAGTGAGTTGCATACTAATGTCTTGTACTGACAGCTAAATGCTGACTGAAGAAACCTGTGTCCTACACTGACTGGCAGTGTATGAAAGGTTGCCATGTTGTTTGTCTATTGAATCTCACGATGGCCCCATACCCTTTGACCTTTTGGAAATTAGTATTTTGTTTTGTATCACTCATCATCACACAAAAAAAGCTAAGAAGATTGTACTTTTCAAAACACATTTTAAGTTTTGTGTCAGGGATAGAGAGAGCAGGTGAAAGAGAAGAGGGGAAATAAAGGCAGAAATATGCAACACTGTGCTCCCTCACCTTGAAATGGTAGTGTTCCCCTTGATAAAAGGCTAATAAGCCTAATCAGGCCTGATTAATTACACCGATAGGCACAGCGTTTGCCAGCCTAATTGATGGCTTTATCTATGTTTTGCACCGGGCTGAAGGGATGATGGTGTTCCTCAGGAGGAGCTGGGAAGATTTAGCCCAAATGAAGGTTACTGGTTGCTTGAATAGAGAGGGTAGGGGTGGTGGGGTTAGTGAGGCATACAGAAGAAATAGTCTTCTGAAGTGAGTGGTAGGACAATAAAATATGGCTGGTGGCAGGATTTGGTGATGAATAGTTAAGGTGTGGTGACTTTTTAATGTACACTCGCTGTTTTCTCTATACATTCTTTGCTTGGTCCTGCAGTCTTGTCAGTCTCTAAAAAATCAGAGAGTGTCCGTCCCCCTCTGAATGATAACACGTGTAGTGAGGCTTTGTATTGGACTCTTGAGAATGGCAATTCATTCTTCTCAGAGGCCTTTTTCAAATCCTATTTCTTGGTCATTACAAGAGAAATCAATGTGGCCTTAAGCCATGCAATCACCACCGTTCACCTACGCAAGGGACTGAACTGGTGCTGCTGCTACTGACAGTAAGAACAGTAAAATATATTTTTATTTAAGGAGATAATAAAGGATATTCTCAAATCAGCCAGTTTGACTGTAGTTGTTATGCTAGCCACCTACATGACTGAAATTGGGTTGCAGACAATTATATATTCATTATCAGTTTAAAGAAAATGTCTGCATGGTGAATTAAGACCTGGTTCAGATTTCAGATGTCATCAAAGTGAAATTAATTTTAAATTCTACTTAGAAAGAAGTACACAGACTTAACACATGACAGTTTTATAGGCCAGGTTAGTAAAAATGACTGCACTGCCAGTTTAGTGTTTTCAAGATTAAACTGAATACACAAAGATAGATGACACCTTAAAAAGTTGTCATAAACTCACTTGTTCCAGCTTGAGTTAACATAATTTATGTTTAGTTTTACTGTCTCTGTATGTGTAGTTCATTTACATGCAAACATACAAAAATGCTCATGCCTTTGGGAATTTATTGTAAAATGTCAAATTTTCCTTTTACTTGCTTGAGTATCTTCATCTCTTTGTTGTCATTGGTTGTGCATTGGCTATAGCCTTTGCAGGCTGTGCCCCCGTGTAGTATCTCAGACTTCAGAGCCTTTGGGATATAGGCAGCCATGTGCTCTATATTTATCTAGCTCTATGATTTATTAATAGTCTCCCAAGTATGCGCAGTACTAAAAATACAGTGGAGGCAGAGCCCCACATGCAGCATCTAGCTAGGAGGGAGAGTTGGATCTGAGGGGAGATTTGTCAACTCAGCAGCTTTCCACTGTAACAACATGCACGTCTGGGATGATCCAGGGCTTCAGGTTACCTCAGTACGCAACCTACTCCATGACTCAGCACTTGAGTGACCCAGTCATTCTATTTAGTGGATAATTCTGAATGAAAAATTCAATGAACTCCAGTATTTAGGTGTGTGTGTGGAATCTCATCACTGCCTCTCTTTCTGTCTCTCTCTTCATCTCTTTCTTTTTATCTCCAGTATGAATACTTCAATGCAGTGTTGATCAACGAGGTGGATGAAGAGGGGAACAGCGTAGAGCTGGGAGGAGAATTCATCCTGCAGCCCAATGACCACTTTAACAACCTGTCAGTCAACCTCAGTCTCAGCGTGGTCCAGGTGCCCACCAACATGTACAACAAAGGTATGTTCACTACCTCCAATTCATGAGAAAGTGTGCAGAAAGGGTTAAAAATATATGTACATCTTAGCCTCCCAGCAACTGATATTTTCCTGAACCCCAATCTAAAAATTAACAGCAATCAGTACAACAATCAGTATGTGTGCTGGTGTACATGGATGTACGAGGATTTGAGTTCATTAACTGTAACTCTTTGGATCATCCCTACCACACACTGACTTAATTAGCAGTTAAATAATCAGCCATTCTGCTAATTTGCCATCCACTCAAGTCCAACCAATGAAGTCATGGCCTTGTACAATGCTCAGTGGACAGAGTGAATGTCATGTCGGCTTAACCCAGCTACTAGAGGCAAAGAAATTATATGGAGAGCGAGGGAGAGGAAAAGAGGGAGAAAGTAAATGAGAAGGAAAGTAGGTTAAGTCAGACTGATGGAAGGTCTGAGCAACAGATTAATTACAGCTAGGTGGAAAAAAGAGAAAACGCAAGTGAGAGTGGCAGGAGGAGAGAGAATGAAATGGAAAGAAATTGAATGAAAGAGCTAGGAGACCGAAGCTGGCAGGCTGGCAGAGCGATACAGGGAGAGGAAGAGTAATTTTGATTTGATTCACAGGCAAATGTGTAGAATTACACACACGCGCACACACGTGCACACACACACACACACACACACACAGAGCTTTAAGAGTTTTAGATCTGCAGGCTTTGTTCGCTGCTAGTGATAACGTGGATGTATTGGCTGAGACTGCAGGGACGTCGTTGGTGGGTAAAGTTCTGCAAAAGGAGAACAAGGGGCTTGGCTTGAGGGAAGGAAACAATTCTTTAAAACCTTTGGAAACATTTTTAAATTGCTCTCCTTTTGGCATAAATTTGCATTTGCAACATTTGTACGACTACAAATACAGCATTATCGGTATTGTGAACAAGGAATCTTAATGTTTTCTTTCCTGTTTGCTCAAGCACTGACATGTTTTAAATGTGTTCATTCACTTGATTTTCAGCCAAGAAGTCAGCAGGTGTTCAGACAGAAAATAGCACTGAGCTAAATAAATATACTATGCAATAACATGCAGGTGTGGGTGTGTTGCTACAGGTGCAGGTGAGAAGTTGAAATGAGGTACAGGAAGTCTAGTTTTAGTAACACATCCATAGGTTTGAAGGATTATCAGATGCCAAAAAATTGCACACTGCGACTTGTACTAATACAAGACTTTATAGAAGATTTTGCAGCTATATAAAGTTATCACGGTAGCAATCAGTAGAACTACGGCATTCATGTTACAAAATAATCTACCTGTGCTTAAATGTATCTGATTGACCAGTGCAGTTCCTGGATGATGCTGCATTGCATTGCAGCCGAAGTTGAACAAGGTACGCCTTTCTTGCAGTCTGGCAATGAGACCCTCACCAACACAGTGGTTTTATTGTAATGAAGGATACGGCTGCGTTTTCTTTATGTACTGCTATTCTTTGTCTAAATATGGCCTTCCCCCACGTATACTGTAGCAAGTCAGAACCTGGTTTTTATGCTGCTGAAGACCTTGCTGTAGCCTGTGCACTTCATAAATGGTTTGGTGGCAGGGGTGATGAATTAGAGGTTAAGTCCATGATAGCAGAGAGCTGCATGCTCCCCGGAGATTAATCGCAGGAGGAACACACCACATCAAACATCCATCTTCCAAACTCGCATCACAACCAAAACACAACCCACGCCATCATACTTCATGAGGCTACATGACAGAAACATGTACCATGGATGCAGTGAAGCCTAGACACATTTACAGCAGGTGGATGCACTCTTATGTCCATACACTTACCTTTATACTCTCCGAGATGAAGCGCTCGCATTCACGTGTGATTTCTACTAGGCCTTGTTACTCCTCTTGTAATCATCAGTAGTAACCTAATAAAGTGAGGCTGATATCAGCTCAAATCACTCTGACTGGTTCAGTGGTAAACCTACATAGTTCTACTACTACACGCATGTGTGAATATATATAATCATGGGAGCCCCATCTGATCAGATTAAATTAAGGAGTGCATTAGTTATGATGAATTTAAATGACAGCTTAGAGGGAAAGTAGAGCCCATACTCTCTCCCTCATAACGATGAGTTCAGATTGTAATAGACACTCAAACTGCACCAGAAGTGACTGTATTGTTGTGTAAATGGGGCCTGGATCAAATCCAGCCTCCCCTCCACTCCACTCCATAGAGGTGGATGGGTGTTTACTATCAAGAGGGGGCTTTAGTGTGCTAGCTTCCAGAAGACTAATTCAATCATGGCTTATTGGCATGACTGTTGACAGCAGAACAATGTTGCCAGCATAAGAGATGATGGGAAATCTGTTATCTGCTTTTCTCTCTCTGTGTCCATTAGGTACTTGTCTGTCTGACTGTCTCCCCGTAATTTTCTGCCTGCCTTTCCGTCTGCCTTCCTGGCTTTCTTTTGTATCTCTCTCTAAAGGCTTTTGTGTATGTCTTACTGTATGATTGTGTCTGTCTGTCTGTTCATCCTTTTCCACTTCCATCTTCCCCACCCCGCTTCTGAACCAAGCAGAACTGTGGTAGTAAGCGGCTGCAATAAGCTTGGCTGTCTGGTCACTAACCAGTTACATTCATGACTCTCTCAGCCTGGAAATTGAAAAGAAGCTTCAGTGATTGGATATTACCCACCATATATCACAATCAGCTTGGATAGAATTATAAGCAAAAGCTATAGCAAATATTGAGCCACATGGGCATGCCTGCAGAGAAACATATTGTATGTTCCACATGCACACACATTAATACTGCCCTACAAAGGCAGCAAGGAGTAACTACAGAAACAGTGAGATTAAAACAAAACTGGCTGGCAAACTGTAACATATGCAAAGGTTATAATGCCTTCATTTAATAGCTTTTTAGACTGATCATTTTACCCCCAAAATAATTGCAGTAGAACTTACATCATATATTCGATGATTTTTGTGAAATGCAGGGACAAACTGCAGCCAGCAAAATGGGTTCTTTCAGCTTTCTTGTTCATAGCTTATAGGAATCAAATATAGTATGTTTGTTATGCTAGGTGTCTGCCTGTATACTATTGATATGTCTATTGAAATCAGTATAATAAATGAAGTGCAGTTGCTGCAGCCAGAATGCAGAAACTACATAGCTGAAGTTTCACAGAAATTATGGCATAACATATTTATATTGTAAAACAGTTGACACAAAGTCAGATACTGGTCTTATGTCAATTCTGACCAAATATGCATTACTGCATTTTGCCTTTGTAGGCCAGAATCGTCTCCTCTCTCTCCTATTCATATTCTTGCTTATCTCTCTAATTCTTTTCATCTGCTCTCCACTTTAACCTCTTAACTCAAATAGTGCTTTTTCTTCACTCTCCATACTTGTCTTTGTCTCTCCTTCTTTTTGCCGCCAATCCTTAGACTCTGCCATTGTCAATGGAGTGTACTGGTCCGAGGCCTTGAATAAAGTGTTTGTGGATAACTTTGAGAGGGACCCATCACTCATATGGCAGTACTTTGGCAGTGCCAAAGGGTTTTTCAGGCAGTACCCAGGTAAGTGTTTGTTTGTGACGGTGTATGTGTGTTAGGTAGTAGCTGTGTGTGTGTGTGTGTGTGTGTGTGTGTGTGTGTGTGTGTGTGTGTGTGTGTGTGTGTGTGTGTGTGTGTGTGTGTGTGTGTGTGTGTGTGTGTGTGTGTGTGTGTGTGTAATTAAATTGCTGTCTGCCTAAAGCAGAGTGAAGGATGTGTGGGAATCTTCAGTGACTGACAGCTAGAGACTGGAGGCTAGAGAGGGAGAGAAGGAGGAGGGGGCAGAGTAGATAGAAAAAGAGAGAGGGGGGTAAAGAGAGACAGGTGAGAGAGTTTGTAGAGATTAGAGAGTGGGTGAAGAAGATGGGGAAAATTAACATTTTCAGGTGAAGTGGAATGAATAAGAAGTAGTATAATTAAGAAAAGTAGCCCTTTGAATGGGATTGGTGAATGCATTTTCTATGTGGCATGTTAGAAAATTTATGAAAAGGCTTCTCTTTCTTATTTTTATCTTTTGACCTCGACCTTGAACTTGCAAATCAGCGTTAATTATGTTTTTTTTTAATATCTCACATCTCTATCTACATCGGACATATATATTATGTGCAGCTCTGGCTATCAAAAGGCCTCCTCCACTGTCTATTGTTAGTTTTCTGAATTGAAGGAATCCAAAGTCATTGCTGCATAAAGTCTCTAAAAACTAAATTCATTCTATTACTTAAAGTTCACCAAATTTAGAAAGAAATGGTCACTATGATAAGAGTGTGTTCTATGGATTATTCAGTGCAATTTGGACATGGGTTTCTAGAAAGGGATGTTGCTGTTGAATTTTTCAGTGTTCTGAGCACTACATTCACCTCCATTGTACTGTGCTGAAAGAAATCTCAAATCTCTATCTGCATGGCCAGTAACAACTAGAAGTAAGTGAGAGAATTTGTAATTTAGGTGTATTGTGTAATTTGGTAGAACTGAACCTCTAAAAGTAGCACACTGTAGGGGCAGAGGTTTAAAAAGCAGATGATGAATGTTCAGGAAAAATTCTGTTGTGACAGAAAAAGCAGTGAGCTTTGGCCTCAAAGAACAGATTTCCTGGCCACCTTTTTTTCTGTTTCAGCCAAGGTTTGCTTTCCTTTCGTGCAAATTATGCAGCTCTAGCACTATTGCAGCTCCTCCTTTATCTTTGACTTGTGATGCTGATTCTTCAAGGGATCAAGTGGAAGCCAGATGAACACGGGGTCATAGCTTTTGACTGCCGTAATCGGAAGTGGTACATCCAGGCTGCCACTTCTCCAAAGGATGTGGTCATTCTGGTGGATGTCAGCGGCAGCATGAAAGGCCTCAGGCTGACCATCGCCAGGCAGACTGTCTCCTCCATACTGGACACTCTTGGAGACGATGACTTTTTTAACATCATCGCTGTAAGTCCACGCAAATGTGCACACAGTTGTGAGCAGGGTACATAAAGTACTTAACCTCTATGATTTTAAATGCACACACACAAGCCCACATCCTCTCCTCCTCAGATCAGAGGAAATGCTGGAACGAATCAGCTTTCTTTCCTGTCACGCTCACAACCAATTAGCACTTAGCTGAATGAAGATTTGAATTGCAAAAGAGACAGTTGTGATTGGATCCCACCTCAGGCACCCAAACCATTGTTATCGCATCTTAGTCTGATGAAACTGTGTGTGTGTTTGTGTGCGTGTGTGTATGCGTGCGTGTGTGTATGCGTGCGTGTGTACGCATGACCATGCACTTGCACATGTGTGTCTGATGCTATTTCACATCAAAACGTAGCTAGTCACTTTGCCAGCCTCCGTTCTCTTTCTCCACAGAACAAAGTCTTCATTATCATTTGATATCCTAATCTTGTTATTTTGAAAATTATTCTTTTGAAAAAGAAAGAAAAAGAGGATTTGGACAATCAGGCGGAAACATATTGTTTTCTCTACACACTCTTTAAAAGAAAGTGTCATTTTGACTCATCTGTTTCTTCTTTCTTCATTTTATTTGTGCTACTTTCACTGAGTTACCTTCTGTGTATGTGCATTCATTTCTCTCATAGAAGACATGCAGTTGTGTAAAAGTTTTTATGGATTTTGTCTTAAATGTCTGCGGTGAGAGATGACTTTATCTCATACAGTGAGAATTTGTGCATATGCATCTGTGCGTGTCTGTCTTTGTGTGTGTGTGTGTGTACTGTACATACACACATTTGGGCAAAATTGCTGGCTTTGGAGGAACACACTTCTATTCTCTTCCTTGGACTTTGAAGTCTAATTCATACTCATGCGTTAAATGGTGAATATTATCACAGAATGGCAGGCACTGGGTACGTCCTGTACTGTGCAATGTGTGCAGATGTGTGTGTGTGTGTGGGTGGGTGTGTGCGCGTGCGTTTGTGTATGTGTGTGTGTGTTTCATCAAGATGAGCGAAGTTTCTAACATCTTCACATTTTGCACTTTTAAACATTAGATTAAACATTTCTATACACACAGCACATTTAAAGTGACAAAAGATGATTACATTAATTATTCCTTTTGTATTCTTTCAGTACAATGAGGAATTGCATTATGTGGAGCCGTGCTTAAATGGAACTCTGGTCCAAGCAGATGTCACCAACAAAGATGTAAGTCTTTCTTTCCTTTTCTCCTATTGTTTTTTCCTGTTACAGTCAGTTAGAAATCATTGGTGATTTTTCTTGTGAAAGAGGCTGTGGCCAGGTTCAGGCTTAGTAGAAAAATATAAAAAGAATGCAATTGCAGGAAGTAATTTGTGGTTCACAGTGACACCTTCAAGTTCAAGTATTACTACAGGAATCTGTGCAATGAAATTATTGTATCAAGATGTAAGATATACATTAAAGTATACAGTATAATGTTAAATGAGTGTATAGTGTGGACCTTACAATAAGAGATTTATACAATACACATAAGAAAATATGTCATTGACATATCAGTTGAAGTACATTAGAAGTACTGCACCTTGCATACAGTATTTAATCACAGTTTAACTTTAATCTACATTGAACCTGTTAAACAGACTGCTTACTAAAAGGAACTTTGAGTCGGGTGGTGTAAGTGGTGATGTTCCGATAGGGACTTCCAGATGACAGGGGAGAGAAGGGACTGAGCTGGTGTCCTTAAAGGGAAACTCACACAGCAAAGTCCATTTTCAGGTTTTGGTTAGTCCTACCGCCTATGTGAAAAAGTTGTATGAGGCCTTTTGTGGCTCCTGAGGAAACTTTGCAAACTGTCACCTGAGTCAACATGGGCTGGGGCTGAAGACTACAAGTTTGAAAATGAAAAAAATCTGGGGGTGTTTTTACAAATAAGATATCCCTGGTTCTGCTTCATAGATTTTAATACTTTTTTCTTTAAACTGTCCTCTGTGAGTGTTATTGGAAGTTGTACAAGTAATGCTAAATCAGTGGAGTGCTTCTTTTTAATTATGGTTTGGATTTTCCTGAGGCAGCGAGTGGCATAAATGCTATGTACCACATAATGTGGTTTGTTCGACTGTGTTTATGTCAGTAAGTATACCGATTCGTAGAAGACATTTTCATTAAGATGGCACATGTTAGAATCCTTGCTATTACTGTGGTATGATTCCCTTCTTCATCTCTGAGTCTATGCTCCTCTCTATTGCCTACAGTATAGGCTCTATCTCCAGGTGTCCACTGAAAAAATAATCTATTCCCAATTATTTAAAATTCCATTTAAACATTCAGTTTATAAATGGAATTGAATTCACTAACCTCTATTACCTCTAGTCCAGGACAAACATTTGGGAAGCAGCTGTTTACTCGCAAATGCAAGGACTACTTTCCACATGCAAATGATGTAGAATTATGTGTGTGTTCATATCTGTGTGTGTGCCTGTTGGTGTTTAAGTTAATTTATGTTTATTTCTAAGTAAGTGTACACTTATGCATATGGATTAGCATTATGTGTTTAATTCCAGATGGTAGTTTAATGTTGTGTGAGTCAGCCAGCTAAGAGGGGAAGGCAGTCTGTGCTAGTAGATAAGGCTAATGTCTTTTACTTCAGCTGGGGGCAGGAAGTGACTGTCACACTACAGACTTAAAGTTACTGATCTGTCTTTCCAAAATCTGTTATTTCATACCCAAACTTCAACTGGGTCATAAATACCTAAATACCAAGCTTCCATGGGAAACATCTTCATCTGGCTATATATTACCAATTCTAGTCTAATTAGACTTGTCAGCAGGCATCTGAAGATTTAAAATCCATCCAGTCTGATTATTACATGTGCAATAGTTCCAGGCTAATATTTAAAGCCTTAAAGAGAAACACTCGTGATTTTCAACATTGTTTCTATCTAACAGTTTTTTGGCCAGTCCTCTAAAATGCGACTGAGAGTTTGGTGAATACTTGCCTCCACTTATGTCACAGATGGGCAGTCATCTAATAGATGACAGACGCAGTAACTAACCAACCAACCAACTAACTGAACCAAGTGTGTTTAACTGTGTGCTATTTTGTCGGTTGTTTAGGTGAGCACAACCAGAATTAATGAATGGTTAATTTGTTAATTTCTCAATAATATCTAGGTTAGAATTTTCTTAGCATTTCCGTATATATATAACCATTGCATAATTTTACTTACTTTTCAACCAAATTACCGCAGTCATCTTTCCCCCGCAAATTTCCAAATTAATTATTGCTAGCCAGAAAGTTTCAGAATGGATGCAACAACTCTTTTTCTGCTCCTCTTTTCCATGTATTTATCAGAATTGCAACTGCCACCATGTGTAGAGTAAATTACTTGCCATACAAATCAAAACCTTAGGCTTCAGCAAGCTGGAATTTAAGATATTTTTGTTCATTATTATGTCCCTGCAATCAGGTTTCATTAAGCTGACTGCTGTGATCATTTTTGAGTATAAAAGCATTGAAGGGTTTGATGTCCACTGTACATTTCAGAGTCTTGTTGTGCAGGACAAAAGGTCGGGAACATTCAGCATTTCATGCGCACATGCACTTTCTGAATCTGCCACTTAAGTACACTGCTGCACCAGGGATTGAACATAGCCCGCTGTGCTGATACAAATCACTTCGATCTTCCATACACACTCACACACACACTCTCACATGCAGTGGGTAAAGTTTGCTGTGCTCCAGGGTACAGCCTTTTGTTGGAACCGATTAACCTTTTTTTCCACACCAAAGGGAGGTTGCGTCTTTTTGCCATATGGGGGTGTTGTCAGGGACGCTGGAGGTTGTTTTTGTGCACATATTTATTTGTTTGTTGCTGGTGATTATGCCTGTGTGTATTGTGTGTGTGCGTTTGCTCCCAAGTGAGCAAGCTCTGATATGGCCTTACAGTGCTTGGGCTCCCTACTGTGTGTTGAGAGACTTTTCTCCTCCCATCAGTAAAGAGCAGAAGACTGGAGGAGATGAATGTATTGTGAGTGAAAGAAAAGGGGTAGAAAAATAAGAGGCTGGGAAGATGATAATGTAGATGGGCGTGTAGGTCTGGGGTGTTCCCAGATCTTAAAAAGTGAGAGACGTTGTGTGTAATGTCTCTGTTGCCACTGGTAATATAGCAGTGTGTAAGAGTGTTGCTCACCTCCATAGGTGGAAATGTTTTTTGCAGGTAGTTGGATAGAGCCAGAGTCAACAGAAAATGTTTGAAATGCCACCAACTGGATCTAAATAGCTATAAATAGATTAAATTGGATAATGGATTGTGTCCATTTGTGTGTGTGTGTGTGTGTGTGTGTGTGTGTGTGTGTGTGTGAGAGAGAGAGAGAGAGAGAGAGAGAGAGAGAGAGAGAGAGAGAGAGAGAGAGAGAGAGAGTCAATTTTGCCTGCAGGCTGTTGCAAATAATGAGACATGCACATGAGACCTGTTAGGTTGCTGACATTAAATTCATCATTAATTGCCACAGAGATAATGTACCCTTTGTGGCATGATCACATCTATGAACATACACACACACTTGCATGCGCAATAGACTGAACAGGTGTCTGCTAAAAGGAGATGGAAGGAAATGGTCATTTTAGTTTTTTCAGTCAGTATGTGACATTTCCCTCCAAGATAATGTGGCAGTTTGCCACAAAAACTGGCTCAGGGCTGAGTTAAAGAGCCCAATAACCATTGATGCAATCTCCGTTCTCACACAAATGCTGGTAAATCAAGTTCAGTGAAATATGATGTTTCTCTGTTATGAGTAAAATAAATTGTAATTTCTACATTTTTACTGTCAGTCTCCCATGTCTTTGTCTCTTTTTTCTCAATGAAAATCAATAATGACCTCTAATTCTAATTAATTTCTTATTCTCATTCTGTCCTTTTGTCACCATGATCATAATGTTTCCTTCCCAAACTTTATTTTCCCAGCATTTCCGGGAGCATCTAGACAAGCTGTTTGCTCAAGGCATTGGTATGTTAGACATAGCTCTGACTGAGGCCTTCAATCTTCTCAGTGACGTAAGTAATACACTCACGCATGATCACACACAGATAAACTCACATGCACATACACACAGAAAGAGAACAGACTCATGCACAAAATTAATTACTGTGTTGTAATTAATAGCTAAATCCACAGAATCATGCAAAAACAAAGTAAACAAGGCACTTGATGAGTCAGGTTAGTGGTTCAACATCTCCCTATTATGAGCAAGCAATTACTCAAACAAACATGCACACAAACACACACACATTTACAGTCCCTTATTAAATGCTCATTCAACAACATGTATCTATCTAAGTGTGCACTACTATGACAAATGTATCCATTCTGCAAGGTAGCTTGTAGCTTGTGTGCATACCTGTATAGGAAAAGGCATGTTATTATTATAACACTAGCTTTTACAACACGGTTAGCTTTAATGACAGGAAGGTAAGTCATCTAAAGATACATTGCATCTCTAATCGGATGTAAGAAGATGGACTGTTTTGGAAGTGTCTGAAAAAAACTTTATTGAGCTTTATTTTTTGTCCATCTGTGTGTTAACTTCCCTCACGCTCTCTCTCTATTTCCAGTTCAACGAGACCGGGAGGGGTAGTGAGTGTAGCCAGGCCATAATGCTGGTGACAGACGGGGCTGTGGACACATACGATGCCATCTTTGCCAAGTATAACTGGCCAGACAGGAAGGTAGTGTATTAAACACACAAACACACACATCACATTATTGTGCAATTGTAGTTCCACAACAGTTGTAAAGTGAGGTCAGCTGAGCTCAATTTCACATTACACTTTGTTTACAACTTCATGAACCTGCAAGCTGGTATCCTAATGGAGAATGAATGCTGGAGAGCAGTGGACTAATGTCCTCCTGTGGTTATGAATGAGTTTTTAAACTCACTGTTGACAATGTCAGAAAATCTGAAATTAGGAAGTAGATCCATTTGACACAATTTTAAAGGGATACCAAGGCATCGTTTACAGTCTCTTAAATACACCAATCAATAGTAAAAGTGAGAAGGAGGATTTTTTTTAATATACATAAGGTTGGGGCTATGATTACAAATTATATACATCAGAATATAATTTCTTGTGAAAAAAGGCACTTCTCGCTCACCAAGAGGACTGTAAGAAAGCAAGCAAGCATAATCACTGTAAACAAAAAACAGAAAAGAAAAAAAAAAAGTGCATCTGGGTTTCCCATATGAATACACAGTTTTTGTAGTCACATTGTAGTGCACGTTTTTGCCAAGTATTAGTATCTGGGCTGAGTTGTTTTTGACAAGCAGAAGGTATTGAGTGGGCCCAGTATGGGGTCCTTTCAGATGGCCTTAAAACAGAGTTAAGTATGGCCCTGTCTCTGAGGACTGGAGCTGTCTCTCTGCTGTCCTGCAAGGTAATTGTGGTGCTCTTCTGACAGGCCATGAAATGAAATGGGAGGAGAGAGGGAGAGGGGAGATAGAGGGGAGAAAAAGGGTTATTCTTAGGTCCTTTTCTTCTGTAAAAGAGAGCCCACAGGGTCTTCACCCTTAAAAGATTGAGGATAGAAGAACTGTACTAAATTCAATGCTGGATGCATACGCCATAAAAACATTCTGTATACACATGCAGGTAAATGTGAATGACACATATAGTAGAAACTTCCAGTGCCTCAGGTAAGCTCAATTTAATCTCGAATCTGTTTGAGCATATGCGTCTATGGATTCATATGGGTTCCTTTTGTTACCATAAATGCTGCACCTCTATTGTCATGTGTTTGTGTGTGTCTGGTGGTCCCTGTTGAAACTGCCTCACGACCCCCCACCCCCTCATTTTTGGTCCTGCCTCAAGGCTAAACAGCAGTGAGCGGAGAGGGGACAGGGCTGCTAGATAGTTCCATTTAGAAGAAGCCCCGCTGATAATAGAAGTCCTCGGTCTCTGTCACTCTCTCTCTCTCTCTCTCTCTCTCTCTCTCTCTCTCTCTCTCTCTTCCTCCACTGCTTGTTTTTAATGGTTTCCTTCCAACCAGCCTTATAGCGTCACACTGAAAATACAGGCATAGCTTTAGAAAAACCGAATGCAAATAAGTTACCAATGGCATTTAGTCAAAAAAGCTATAGAGAAAAGATCATAAAAAAAGCATTGCCAAGGAAAACAGTATCTACTGATGAAAATACTGAAAAGCTTCAAATACATTCTATAATGACTTTTTTCTTTCATGTTAAACCAGTGATTATTTTCAGAGATACTGTCAGTTTTCAGATAACTGCCTTTTGTAGATAAAGAATGTTTTAGAAACTGCATTTGCTTTACTTTCGTAGCATGACCTCAAAACGCATAATATACAACACACAAAGTTTGTTCTGCCAAAGACCACTTTGTTGATTTATATACGAGCAAAGGTATCCTTGGCTTTTAGTGTTTTTACTGGTGTGTATTACTGATACCAATAACTGAGTTAAAACAAGAGATGAAAGTCAGACACACTAATGCACACACAAACACTCTCAGTCCCATACTCACACCTGAACCCCGCCTTTGTGCATACCTGTTCAAACAAATGTGCCTACATGTGTATGCATCTACAAACACAACACACAAAATCCTATTTGCATATACACACATACACTTGCATCTAAATACACGTGAGCCATAATCTCAGCTAGCTGTGCTTGAATGATAGCTCCTGATAATCTTCTCAGCATGGTGCCTACTAGTGTTTGCTTTTTATCTTATTCATGATTCATCACTTTACTCTCTTATGCTAATTTCAATATATAGTTGGGAATAGGACTGCTCAGATTGTAGCTTCTTAGTTATCGCAGGTTTTGTGTTATGTTGTCATTTCATCACAGTGCTTTTGTTCGTGTGTTTTCACATCCTTTATTTCCAGGTCTCAATAGGTTTTAGATTTTTATTATTTCAGGTTGTTGTTGCAGAACAATACAGAGTAATTAGGCACAGTTCAACCCAATACAACATAAGACAATACAGAAAAAAACACTAAAGCTACAAACATGCAGAGAATAATGAATCAAACAGCACCTGGCATTGGTCACATATGTGGCTAAATTATGTCCACATCTTTGAACAAGATACAATCAAACCCAGCATCAGTGCCTTGCAAATGAATATTTTATAAGCTCCAAAAAATGCAATACATCTTTAATCCAGCAAGTGAGGGTGGTTTCAGTCATATCAAACAGTTTGCAGTGAAGACCAGGAACCCAACACAAGAAAATCGAATTTTGACAGAGCTGCACCCTCATGTACTCTCTTAAAAGAGCAATTATTGATGGTGGTAAACTGTGAATCTCACCACCTTTTTAAAGTGCCTTATACTATAACAAGAAAAGCTGGATAAAATATGACATTGATTAGAACATCAATAGTTGTCTCCCTTAACTCAATGAGGTTGACCATTTCCTGTTGCACCAAATTCCTTCAGCCACTTCAGAGTGTAGCCCCCTGGGCTGTCCCCAGACACCTGATCTTCTAAAGGGTTGCATATGTTTGGCACACAAACAGCCCCGGGGACAAAAAAACCCGGGCCATCAGTGTATTATGAAAGCTGGACAGGATGTTCCCAGATGGCACAGATTCATACCAATTAAAATTGATCACTGGGCGCATACACTGAAGAAGTTCTAAAGCCATTTTTGTGCCCATAGCACATTAGTAATTTTTTTTCAAACGACTGCCCACACACAAATGGAATACAATTAATTTGACCAATATACAGCATATTGTAGCTAATAATTTTCTTTATTGTTTTATATTCATTATCTTTGTAATATGGCTAGAAGTCTTTTGGGGCAAAGTGAGTCACATGATTAGCAATTTATACAGTGGCCACTACACCAAGATCACTGCACAGGCCAGCACTGATAGTGGGGGCTTGTGGTGTGCCCGTAGCCTGTGGGCCATGCTGCAGAGGTGAGAGGAAGCTAGGCAGCCCTGTCAATTGATGAAAGATGCGCCATGCTGTCTGTCCTCATCAGCGTGGGCTGACCTTGAAAGTGAAGGTATAGAAAAACTTGGAGGTGGGCTACATGTTCATCACTCAGCTTCAGGAGATTGATATGCTGAGCTACACATAACCTTAGCCATGCCTGTTCGTGCCCTCTCATTTGTGCACTGCTCATACCTTATCTGTCACCACCATTTGGCAGTGCATTATGCGACCCCAGTGCTCGTCTTTTGCCATCATTGTTTCTGTTGTCCCAGTAACAAATGGCTAACTATAATTGCTGGGAGACAACTCTGCCGCGCTGCAGCCTGTAAGGGGGACTCCTTGGGCTCAAAGGAGGGCCAGAAGAATGGCCTAGACGGGTGATAGCATGGGCCCTAGGAGACAGAGAAACACTCTCCATGTGGCCTCGGCTCCCAACCCGAAACTGTGAGAGGTACTCCCTGAGTAGTATCTGCCTCTCCCATGTAAGATTCAGTAGTGCAACCAAGTGATCCATCAATAGATCCAGAAACTGTTTCCTGTGAGAAGGCTGCTCCTGGCCCAGTTAGGGTCAAATTCATAAGCATTTCACCCAAGTAGTATTTGTCTGTGTGAACAGACCCCTAGACTACAAATTCCCAATAAAGAATCAAACATCCCATGAATGGACAACTCCAGCTTTATCATAGACTTGGAGAGCAGCAAAGTCTGTCCTCTCACACAAACATACTTTATATCTCTGATACACACTTCAGCCCGCTCTACGAAAAGCCCAACTCTCAAAAATATCAGATTGATTTTCAGATAAATATTATTAGATTAGAAATGAACAATTCATGAATCTTTGCCCAGGCTGATTATAGTTGGGCCAGTAATAATTTACAAGTGTTGGGACACATGCTCTCAGTAATACACAGTGGAACAAAAGCCGACTTTGAGATAAGGAATTTCATTAAAGGCAAGATCGATTAAAAATTTGTTTTTTGTGAAGGAGAATAAAAATCAGCTGCTAACTTTAGAAAGTGTGGCACAAGGTTATCAGGGTCTTCTGATTTGCTAATGTCTAAAAGTTTGAATGCCTGTGCAACACCGTTGGTGCTAAGAGTTACTCATAGAAAAGTTCTCGGCTTTTACATACATACTCTTAACACATTAGGAATGAGCCTTACTTTCACCAAATCAAAATCTCCAAACCTCATATAATGCTTCCTTATAGCTTAGGTTTAGGTTGTATAATTTGTTGTATAAACTGCAGTAACAGTGACATCCCTATATCAGGTTGAAACCTCAAACTGACCTTGATTTTAAACCAGCTGGGTTTTTATGACCAACAATAGGATAGTCTGGTCCTAGATTATGCCACATATTATGACACATGCAATAATATCAGCAACCATTAGCTTGCTGTTACTTTGTAACAGTGCAAGTCATAACTGTGTGTCCCGGACATTAAAACACATGTAGCCTCAAGGAAGCACTTACGGTCTTTAAACATTTGTGTGAATGTTTACACTGGAGAATAAATGAATGAATTATTGAGTGGACCGCTGAATACATAATGTAGGAGTGTGAACAAATAAATGTTTTTGCATACATACAGTACAGTGTGCGCATCAACTCACTGTGTTGCTCTTGTACAGGAGTGTCTGTGCATGCATGGATACGTACAGATGTGTCTACTTATATGTCTGTGCGTTTGTATTCTTGCATGCATATGTATTTTTATTCCTGCCTATGTAAAATTTGTGCAGTCAAGTAGGTTGAAGATTGCATGCCGTGGTTCAAGCCCCTGCTATTTTTTTTTTAATCTCAGCTGAACTTAACTCAGCTGAAAAACTCTTGCATATTTAATAACCAGCCTGCTGTAGTTTGACCTCCGTTTTGGCTACCAGTGAAGGAAACGCAGAACCACAAACAGAAAATCCTACTGTGACACTTATACCAATATCCCTATATAGAGTGGTTTTGATCATGTCGGCTGTGTTGTGTTTTCCTGTCACTCTGGCAATGTCATTCAAATGGCTAGGTTTGTATGAATAGAGGATGATTATAGTCTAGATAATAAGGACTGCTTAAAAATGACAATCTGACATCTGTATTTCTTCACAGTGAAACTCATTACAGTTGACAATAGACCAAAAATACTCATGCTATAAAAACGTGAGCCAAGAATTAGCTGTCTGTGGTTTATATCTTTGTCTGCTAAAGCTGTTTTAATCGCTACTGAATTTATAAGGAGTTCATCTATGACACACTGCAGTAACAATGAAATAAATATAATTTATTACATAAGTATTCCTCAAAAAGGAACTGCCTTTTATACATAAATTATATTTTTGCAATATTCAGGCTCTTCTGTTGAGAGCAGTCATCCAAAATCAGATAAAGACACACATATACCCACATCTTGACGTGTGTGCATGCACATAACACACACAAACACAAACAGACACATGCTGTCAGGGTGAAGGGAGGCAGTGAAAAATGCAGGCATGGGAGCTATGGCAGCTGTGCCCCCAGAGGCTTGCATCTGCTCCAATCTGGCAACCTGCTCTTCACACACACATACATGCACACACCTGCCAACTACACCTGCTGCTAGAGCCAACTGAGCACTGCCGGGCAAAAATGGGTTTGGCAACAGAGAGTTTAGAAGATTCTCCAGGTTGAGCACATAAAGCTCGTATTTGGCTTTTTCAATGCAAAATGTTTACTTCACGGCATTATTGATTCTAATTGCAGATTCTTGATAAACTTATTATTATACATATCTGTTAATTCCTAATTGTTCAGTTTCTTGAGTTAATAAAGATTTGAATGATTTAAACTTTCAATACAATCTAAAAGACAAATTTCAGACTTTTTACGAGTCCATAATCGACTCTATTAAAGAAGGAGAAAGGGCCTGCTAATCACTGGCAGATAAAGGATGAGCCTTCTGCCTGGCTTTGACAGTGTTATCTTCTATATGGTGGTATGGTGGGGCCCTATCAAAATGTGATTAGAATGACTGACGGAAGCTATCTGCTTTCTCTCCACAGGTCCGCATATTCCCTTACCTGATTGGTCGAGAGTCAGCCTTCGCAGATAATCTGAAATGGATGGCATGTGCTAACAAAGGTGGGATCTTACAACACATGCATATATCTCTGTACTTTTTTTCTCCTTATAATCTGTTTTTGCAGATAAAAGGTGGTGCATGTTGCTGTCAGTCGGGCGAAAAACTAATATATTATCGAGCTCGGGATTTGTTTGGGGTGTTTGGCATATGTGTCTGTGTGTGTGTATGTAGTTGAATAGACATGTGTTTGTCAGTGCCTATCAGTATTAGCATGTGTATGTGACAGCAGGCAGCTGGTGCCAGTTGCACAGAACAGATATGTCACATTCCATCCTTCTCTAAGCCTTAAGTCCAAACTATCTAGGCAATACACCACTTTCCAGCTGCTTTGTGTGTGGTCATGGTTGTCTCAGTACGTAGAGCACTTTTCTTCGGGTTCTATATTTAGCTGGGAGGTGGGTGACAGAGACAGTCTGGCTCCATTTCCTCAGGCTGCCATAGATAAGACAGGCAAGCCATAGGTCACACAAGGGGTGTGCATGTGTTTTTAGCTGTGTGTGTGTGTGTGTGTGTGTGTGTGTGTGTGTGTGTGTGTGTGTGTGTGTGTGTGTGTGTGTGTGTGTGTGTGTGTGTGTGTGTGTGTGTGTGTGTGTGTATTTGTGTAGATAAGAAGACAAGGGCATCCACAGTTTTGCTTGGAAGTGATATCCAAGAACTCATCCAGTCAGTTTGAGGGTGTTAGTAGTGATGATGAAACTGATGTGTGTGCGTGTGTGTCGTGCTACATAAGCGTGTGTGTGTGTTTGTATACTGCATGATGATTCAGGCTTGTGACAGTGAAACCCTCTCCAGCCTGCAGGAGCTGTGCAGAACAGTCTTCTCTCTGCTCCTTAGCAGGCATAACATCTGTATGCCAAACTGCCCCAGAAACTTGTGGTTGTATTTCTTCAGTGTTTTAGTTTTGAAGGTGAAAAAGTGTGTGCCCTGTCAGAGAAGGCTGTTATGTCAAAGTCTGTCCCTATTGCCTTTGAGTGGAACAAAGACTATTGTTTAGATGTCACATCACAGGTAGCGCTAGTCGAATAATTGTAGGTCTAAGGGATTTAATTACCACTAAGCCTTATGGCTGTACCAGCAACTAACAGGCCACACATATTGTATGAGAAGTGTCTTTGGTTGCCAATCAACGAAAAACGATGCAGGCCCTGCCGAAGCCTGGATGAGCTTGACTAACTTTCCACCGTCTCTCCACTTATACCCCGCAGTGTTGCTCACTTAACTCTGTGGCTGGAGTAACTAACTGAACTAACTCCAGTCCACTTCCTCTTCTTGTTTTAGCAACCGTGCACTGAACTTGGTTTGGTTTAAGTTAATTTAGGTTAACAAATAGACACAGACAGCGCCTTCAGCTGCACTCCACTCGCCTCTCCTCTTCCTCTGCTCTCATTTCCCTGGCATCTGCTAGACGTGACTGGCAACAATAAATGACAAATGACAACATGACACTAAGATATAACACCTTTTTGTATGTTAATGGAATACAGTGTAACGCTGTACGGCCTAAAGTATGTGGACACCCCCTGTCCACATGCAGTACTTTTGTGTAATTATAGATTTGGCCAGGCCTCTCAGTTCCAGTTAATGGAAATCTTAATGCTGCATGATATTTTACACAATAGGTTCCAACTTTGTGGCAACAGTTTACTATGAGATGCTCTCCCAGTGTGTCTTTGGCGAGTGGCAGTACATACTATATTCACAGCTATCATGTTTATCGTGGTTCAGTTAATTTACTGTTTGTCAGCCCTATATATCTTGTTAAGCTCTGAATGTAGCAAAGTTACCAGCCGGCCTACATGTTGTCTGTAGCTCAGGAGGAGGTTGTCCACTGATCACAGGGTTGGTGGTTCTATCCCCAGCTCCTCCTGTCCACATGTCGAGGGATCCTTGGGCAAGACGGACTGAACCCCAAATTGCACCTGATGTTTCAGGCCAGCACCTTGGTATTTCACTGTCATCAGTGTGTGAATGGGTGAAAGAGCAGTAAATTGTAAAGTGCTTTGGATAAGTGCCATATAAATGCAGCCATTTACCATTTGTCTTTACTGCCACAGAAGAGAAATAATAAGCCCTTCTGAAGGCTTGTTAATGTTACTATGCTGTATGAGAGCTGTATGAGAGGACAGGGACTACAGTCAGCCACTGTTCCTCTTTTAATATTTGGGAACCGCTACCGTAGTTGGGGGGTCAACGTACAAGATATACCTCAGAGTTTTGCCTGTTACGTCACGGTTGAGGATGAGCCATATGCTTTAGCTTAGCTGAACTTTCAAATCCTAGCAGACACATACAAGGCACTTTTGAGATTTTCTTTTAATATATATATACATATATATTTATATGCAAAAAAATCACCAGCATTAACACAGCATGCCAACAAGAATCTATGATTATCTGTGCAGCACAAAAAAAGACATTCAGTGTGGATTTCCTCTTTAATGCCTGTGGTTTTAAAAACGATCACATGTGGGTGTATGTAAGGGTGTACACATACTTGTGATGTATCTGCCTCACATAATTTTTCACCTCCACCTTCATTACTTTCACGTATCAGGACACCTTGTTGTGTATTTTTGTACACATATAACCCAAACCAAGGTTCTTTAAAAATATATGAATGCCCTCATCTTGACCAGACCATGCTGTGAATGTCCTGTCCTGTATGTATGTCAGGTGTACCATGTCAGTGACAGCAGGGAGCATTAATTTTTTTCTCTTCCCAGCTCATCTCACTGGCCCCGGTGGCTCAGCCCCGAAGGACGCCCTCAACCTTCCAGAGGGAGTAGTCATTTTTCACTCACTACTGTGATGAACGATGCAGTTAGACTGAGGCAGTTCGCTTTGTGTGCGAAGTGAGCCTGTACGTGTGTGTTGTCATTGTACTGTCAGCTGGAATAATAGCTGGACCCGAATGTCTCTGAGGATGAAAAGGACAAATCTGTCAAGGGTCACTTCCAGGTCAAGTTTGGGGGCAAGTGCATACTTGTTACTATAGTGATTGCAGTAAAGGTTTTAATGCTTCCGGTGTTTTTTGCCTTTTTTATTTTTTGTTTTTTGCTGCCATTAGTTATTTGGGAGGATACGTGGCATACCTCATAGATCTTTGCATTGTGTCTAGTCTCTGTCTCTTTTCTCCCTGTGGAGTTAAGGTCGTTGCCAGGAACCATGACGCCAAAATCTGTTTCCACTGGCTATGATTTTCTCCTTGACTGCCTCACGGGAGATGAAGGCAGTTTGCTGTTTATAGGGATTGGGAGGAAATGTGGTGGTCTCTCTCTTTTCCCTTATTCTCTGTGTCACTTCTTGTCCTCTCTCTCCCTCTTTCTTACTGTTGTCCCGACTGCCTCTCTTCCTCCCCCCCCCGTTGAGATAACAGTATATTTCTTCCTGCACATGCACATTAGCATCATAATGGCGGCATTACCATCGTAGGAAATAGCATCACATTTGGTTTAACTGAGATAGTTTTTTTGTTGCATTTACACCCCACTTACCCATTCACAAACCCATGCTGGTTTGCTCTCACTTGTATATCACTGCAGGGAATTCTTAAGCTATTACTCATACATGTATCCAGGTTTCCATCTGCTTCATCAAGCACTTATCTGCTGCATACTGTACTGTATTCCAGATGTTATTTCTCTGCTTTGGTACCAAGGTAACTAAAACGGGAGCAATGGCTTGGAAAAGATTATAAAGCCAAGCAGTTATTAGAAGTGACACTTGCTGTAGTGTGAAACAGTTTTGGAAACACAGAAACTCCTGATCTCTGTTTCGGGGAAGCATAGTGAGTGACGAGACTGAACCTGTTCACTCTCCATTGTTTTGAAACTGACTTTTCCCTTCCTCTCTCTGTCCAGGCTACTTCACTCAGATTTCCACATTGGCAGATGTGCAAGAGAATGTGATGGAGTATCTTCACGTGCTGAGTCGTCCCAAGGTTATCGACCAAGAGCATGACACGGTGTGGACTGAAGCCTACATCGATAGCACTGTGAGTTGACTATGCCGTCCTTCACATGGCACTGGGAGTCCACTACTCGCTAACTACACACACCCTTTGGGTTGTGTACAATATGGGCCCAGAATATTCTTGTGATAGATTTATAGATTTTGACTTAATCCATTATGTGGTTTGTTCAAAAAAGTACAGTGCATGTTCAGGATCTGATGAATAAAAAAAAAATCCCAAAGAGAATAGTATTGATAAAATACAAGCAGAAGCCTGAGAGTGTATTTTTCCTTTCTACGTCTCAGACTGAATGTGTGAAAGTGTGAGTGTGCAGCAGATGGAACCATTAAGTGAATGAGCCTCCTGTGTGTGTTTGGGAGTTGTGTAGCGTGAGTAGAACATACTGGGTGCACATTGGTGAGTTAGTCTCTGATCTCTCAACCTCATACCCTGGCCAAACACGTACTATGAAATGGCAGTGAATAACGGCTCAGCACACTCAGATAATCATATGTATAGCTAAATCCCCCGTACATGCTTTATAGATTTCTGGCAAAGACATTATCATCACTAAAGCACCATAATGCCTGACCTAGAGTATAGGATCCTCTGCTGTCCAGAATTTATACACAATGAATTGCAGTATCCACGCATGCACACTGCTTCTGTTTTGTTAAAGTTATTGTGTTTGGCCATGATGATTGAACAGCAGCCTTTGTTCTCCACTATTTCTGAATAGATAACATGAGAGAGCTTTAAAAAAAATTAAGGAGACAAAGGCAAGTGTGAAATATATGCAGGCTATCAAACACTGCATGGAAATGGACTTTTTCTCTCTGCGATCCTCGTCATATCCCTCATGTTTTACCTTTTTCTGTCTTCCTCTGCTTATTTCTTTCTCTTTGCCCTCATTATCCCCATCCATTTATCACAGTGAAAGTACATTCACCCAACACTGACTCAACAGTAACAGCTTAAGTGTTGTTTCCTCTGCTGTGACCCTCCCAGCCATAAAGCTCTCCTCTCTTGACACAGCCACTGTTTTTAAAGTTGCAGTCAAAGTCAATGTCAGTGGATTTTTATGCACCCACTGGTGCTGGCACTCCGTTCAGTGGAAACTGCACTGAAAGGCTTTCTTAAACTTATCCACAAACATATTGACCCTTTCTCTCCTCCCCTCCTCCTTAATCTGTTCTCTTTAGCTCCCCCAAGCACAAAAGGTAAAAAGAATTCTGATTTGAGGTCATTGCTGTATTGTGCTGTGTTGAGGCCTGGTGTGTGTGTTCATGTGCATTTCATGTGCATGTGCGTTTTGGTCTCTGATCTTTGCAAGATGATGGGATAATTTGGGTGAACTAACTACCATACTGACCCATGGCATTTTCTTGTGTGTCAGTGTCGTACGTCACAACCTCCTGATTCAAACCATGCATTGTGGTTGTCATCGGTTCAGTTGATCGCTCTCTTCTGCACGTCTGATCAAGCACACGCACACGTCTGTGCACACGCTCACACTCATTGATCATTGGTGATGCTGTGTTGGCCGTGCTTTGCCAGTATCTCCGGGGCTGGCAGTGTGACCATGTCTGTAAATGTGAGGCTACATTTTTGCTCTTTTGCCTGTGTGATTTTGGTGTGAAAACAAGATTGCCTGTGTTATTTGTTTTGGTAGAATTCTCCAGAATAAGCTGTTTTGTCATCTTCTGGGTGAAAATCCAATAGCCTATAATGACTGGCGGGATGATCTGTTCTGATGCCTTTTTATCGTTTTCAGTGTTTTATTTTTCAGTGTTTTATGAATCATATGTGGGTTGAGATAAGCAGCTCTATAATCATAACAATGATGATGGTGGAATAGAAGAGTGCTCTGCCCCCCCATCACCATGAGCTGAGCACAGAGCAGTCCCATTAGACAGCTGGCAAGCCATATGTCTGACATAGTACTGTTAGTGTGATAGACCCGAGCTTATTGACATCGAAGCAGCTCAGCAGAAAACCGAAATAGATAGCACATTGTCAGACATGATAATTGGGATTAGCTAGGAATCTGCACCGCTTCTTTGCATGTAATCACCATAGCACAGCTCTGGCCTGGGTACTATCAGCGCACATATACAACAGTCCCCCTAAAGTTAAAGACAGTGACAGAAACACACACACACCCTGCATGGTGATGGTGTCTGATACAAAGTTATCAAAACTCCTGGGACTGGCTCAGAGTTGGATAGTGATGAGCATCTGGTATTTATGTTCCAGGGCTGATGTGTATCATCTTTCCAGATGTACCCTTCATCCGATACTTTGCCTCTCCTCCTCTATTCCTCTCAGTGCAACCCAATAATCTTTCTAGCCTAGCATATCTCCCCTTGCTCTCCCCCCCACCCCCACCTGTGCTCTCCCCACCTCCTCTCCTGTTTCCCTCCCTCTCCCTCCTATCCTTCGTCTCACCAGCTTCATCCATCATTCTCTGGCTCATTTGGCTTTGTTTCCCACTCTGTCGGATGAACTGACACTGGAGCTCAAGGATGATGGGAGGGAGGTGGGGCTGAGGGGAATGTGTCTATGGGGGGATATTTGAGGACAAGTGTAAGGAGGTTGAGAGAAAGAATATAAGAGATTTGAAGAGAAAAGATACATGAAAGTTGGGAGGAGATTGTAAAGAAGGATGTGGGGTTAAGAATAGGGTTTTGCACTGAAGTTCAAAGAACAAGATGGATACTTGGTAAAGCATGAAGGCAGACAAATATGAAAGCTGGGAGCAGATGATTACCTTTCAATGGCAAACTGAAGCAGTGAGCTGTTAAAAATGTTACGACAGATGAATATAAACTCCACTATTTAAATGCAAAAGTGTTAATATTGATTTCAAGGCAATTGAGAGATTCCATGGCTCCATCCCAAAACGCATGCACATTTATATTCGTTATTTGTGCATACAGTAAAATATAACCAAAGACAGTGAAATATACAACAACATGAGAAAATGCACTAGTGGGATGAAAAAAAACACCTAAGGGCTTGTAAAAGGAATGTGTGCCAGCTCTGCCCCCCATTGGGTATGTCTAACACATACTCTTTTCCCCCAGGAGCCTACAGGAGGTTTTGGCTTCAGAGCTTACACACACCAACATTATTAAACCCGGTCTCCAAGGAAACAAGGGTCACCTCGTCCACCAGAACACAATTTGTCACAGCAACCTAGATTACGAGGTGTCCTATGAGACACCAAACACGGGGCAGGGGTGTGTATCTGAGCCCCTCTGAGGGGTGTAAGTGTGTGGGTATGTGTGTGTATTTGTGTCAGTGGGGAGCGAGTGTGTTCGAGCCAGAAGAGGTTCTTTTTCATTCTCTGACCCACAGCAGGGGAAAGGACTTACACACCCCATTTGCTCTGACTGATACAGATAAAGCCACAGAGGCTGTGTTGATGCAGATTTGGTACATGTGTGTGTTCAGTTCTGACCTTGCATTAGAGGTTGCAGGTTATGTATGATAAGTCAAATTCTAGATACAGAGATCTCCCTTAGGGACTCAAGTTGAAGGACACTCATTTAGGGTTCAAGGAAGTGCCTTTTCCTCTCCCGGGTTGGGATAATGAAGCACAGGTTTAAAGGTCTTTGCACCTTTGGGTAGAGCTGTGCTGTTGGCTATGAATCCAACAGATGCAGTTGCTTGCTGCCTTTCTCATGCAGCTCTTAATTACAGCATGTCATTTCCCAGAGCAGCTGGGCAAGACCAAATGCACACATACCGAAAATAAAACTTCTTAGCTTGGTGTTGAAGTATGAAGAGTACACTTTTGAGGGGACTGCTCAACAACCATTCAGGGGTATACACAATAAATGTCTGTCCATGCATTTGTAGGCCGGTGATATATGATCCAATAGACCTGAGCTTGGAAATAGATTTTGTATTTTTAGATGAGCCTCTGCTCGTTTTCCTTGTCCTTTGATCGATCCCGTTCTCCAGCAGCAAGGCTGTCCACTGTTAGAGTAGCTGTACTTAGGTGTGCTTTGTTCTCTCTTTGATGTCTAATATGCGTCCTGGATTGCTATTACCAGCTGTCTGAGCTCAGGTCACCAATTCCCCTTTCCTCAGTGTCTGAGGGAGACAGAATGGATGCGAGCAGTTTCCTGTCATTACCTATTATTACTGGAGGTAAAGGGGGGGTGAACTCTGGAGGAAAGAGACTATACAGGGAGCATGTAATGTTCAGTTAAGAGGATTGGTTAAATGGGGTAGTTCCCCAAGAAAAAGCATTATGATGGTATCTGATATTTAAGCCAGTCTAACAGAATAATACTCTATTGATTGCTGCAGCAGAGACAGATCATGTGTGACTGACATGATTTTTGTTTTTGCCACCGCATCTAACACAATTGTGGATTTTGCTCTGGGATTCATATTGCACTTAATGTACCAATTACTTGTGGTGACTTGAACATAAATTGTGTGACTGACTGACATTTAGACAGTTTTGACATTTCTGAGAGGACAACGTCATTCAACGTTTTGCCAAGTGCGACGCCTTACCCCAGTATATTCATAACAGTGTCATGCTTTCATCTCTAATGGATCATCGTCAGATACAGACAGCCGCTGGAAAGATAAATATCATAATTATTCCAGCAGTCTTTTGGGAGGGAAGATACCCAGATCCAAACTAGCACTGCCTTTGGATAAGCTTATTCTGCAAGACATCAAAGGCAGGCTGTGATTGAACACATTTTAAGGCAAATAATAAACATGAATAAAATATGTCACGGAAGTTTTTAGGTCCCTCAAGAAGATAATATGACTAATTCTGCTGCAGAATTTCTATCAGGTTCCCCACGTAAAGAACAAGTGTTACGCAGCTTCAGATAATCTCTCAATGAGTATCACTAAGTAAGATGATTCATATGATGTGCATGATGCCATGCAATGTGTTGTGCAGTTTTGGTTCTTTTGTATAATGTTTCATCATTAGCTTCCCTCTTTTCCCTCTCTCTGTCTTCTTTTTCTCTTTTTCACCCTCTCAATTGCTATCTTTCACTGTTCTTCTCTCATGAATCACTCAGTTGGACGATGGTCAAGGTCCGGTTCTAATGACCACAGTTGCAATGCCAGTGTTCAGTACCAAGAACGAGACTGTAAGTGCACATGGAGTGCTATAGAACCACAAACACATTCACTGTCACTACCATTATGTTTCCCTAACTTGTTTTCTCCAACAAATTTGAAGTTTAATTGAAAAACTGTGCAATTAGTTATTGCATAACTCACAAGGAATTTGGTTTTGAGTTAAAAGACACAAATTGTGAAATAATGGTTAATTATGTTTGGAGTTGACAGACACTAATTTCACTTTGATTGGAGTTTGTAAATTAGAATACAGTAGAGCATCACTAATATATGAATATATATTATAGATTGAATTTTGTAATATCGTAAACAGTGGATCTGTAAGAGACTCATTATCTAAGTAACCTTTCAAATGCAACCTATGAATAATTATAATGTATGTGCTTCCAGAGAAACCGTGGCATCCTGCTAGGGGTGGTTGGGACAGATGTGCCTGTCTCTGAGCTGCTCAAGACCATCCCCAAGTATAAGGTACCACTCCCAGTATCATTTAGTCATTTCTACAAATAATTATTGATCTCAATAATTATAATATACCCCTCTACTCTATGACACTTTTTATAATCAAAACCAAACTTGGATATGTTCTGAACACTATGATTGGGCTTTGTGAGTGCGACATTCACCTGGATGCTAAGTGAGTAAAAAAACTAAAGCTAAAGTTAAAGGATTCTTCTTCTTTTTTTTTTTAAATCTTTAAATCAACGTGTATGTCAGTCCAGCTCCATAGTCCAGTATTGAATGCCAAACCAAGTAGCAGATAAAGTAGAGAAGTGTTGACACTGATTATTCACAACTCCTTCCTCAAGTCCACTAATAACAGGGAAATTATACACTATGTATACTAATGCATGTACACACATCCCCTCTACTGATTTATTTTACTTGTAGAGCTGAAGCTTGGTAGGGTAACATTTTCTTGACATTTAAAAGTGTGTTATTTGTCCAGACGTGGTTGAATGACGGCATCCTTTTGTATTGTGCAGTTCTGTGAGTTTTAGCACAAAGACAAAGATTATGCCAGTAAAAATTACAAAGAGCTTGATTAGCCCAGATTTACAATTAGGTACAGATTTGTCATGCATCCATTTGGTGTGTGTGTGTGTGTGTGTGTGTGTGTGTGTGTGTGTGTGTGTGTGTGTGTGTGTGTGTGTGTGTGTGTGTGTGTGTGTTTGTGTGTATCCTCCTAGCTGGGCATTCACGGCTACGCCTTTGCAATCACCAACAACGGCTACATCCTCACCCATCCAGATCTACGGCCACTTGTGAGTATTAGCTTCAGCACCATCCACATTCTCTATAACAAGTTAACTGAGAATGGACCTTATTATCATAACAATCCCTTTTAGGGCGCAGAGATTGAGGTTCACATTTTTGTACATGCGACTGAGGCATACTAACTCTTGAGTTCATGTCAAGTCAATTACTGATTTCGTTGTCACATCGAGATGCCGATTGACATCTAAAATTGGTGTGTAGTTGTCTGGGTGCCCTATGTGCCATGCCGTGTGTGTTGGCTGCGTTGTGGTATGTAGATGAGGAGAGTGAGTGTTCCAGGCCTCCGCTGTGCCGTGAATAGACAGAGATACAGCTTTTGAATGGCTGTGATTAACTCTATTGTACTCACTCACTCCTCTCACAAGAGGACGAGGGGAGAGAGTGCCGAGAGAGGGAGGGGAGGGAGACTGAGGAGAGCAAGGAACCTGCTTAACGTGAGAATGGGTGCAGGGTGACAAAGCAGGGCGCAACACTGGTTGAAAATGGAGAAATATGGAGGGATAAGAGGAGAACAGACGTGGAGGAGAAGAGTTAACAGGCAGCGAGACAGACAGACAGATGGTTTAATGGTGGTCTAATTAAAGACGTTAATGAACAGTGTTTAACAACTAATTAGGGGTGGGAGGCTGTCCTCGCTGACAGATGAATGGAGAGGAGGACTCATAAGTACACACAGATAGTAGATGCACAAACACACATAGCAGTCATTAATAAGCCCAATACTCTGGCCTCTGTCATCTTTATTTAATGTCCATATCAAACAGGCTCAGGCAGGTAGCCAGAGAGGGATGGGGGTCAATTAAAGGGACAGTTTGACATTTTGGGGAGTGCACTTTCATTTCCTGCCGAGAGTTAGGTGAGAAGATCCATACCACCGTTATATCTGTCTGTTATTTATGAAGTTACCACCAAGAGACAATTAGTCTGGTTGCCTGGCAACCTCATTGTGATGACAAGACTCCAGGAAGTCTCTGCTCTCAGCCAAGAAATATTTACAGCACATAACTCCCTATAAAACCTCAACTTGTTTTTACTTTTATTGGTGTACTAGTTGAACAAATAAGATTTAACGTTTTAATGATGAGCTTTTAAGGTGTTGGTAGGTGGATTTGTTTTTTTTTACTTTGGACAGAGCCAGGCTACCCATTTCCCCTGCTTCCAGTCTTTGTGCCAAGACAAATAAATAATTTATGTCTGTTATTATTTGACATTTATTCGCTACTACTAGCTTTTATCTGTTTTACGGTATATTGTTGTAAACTGGGTCATTAGGTTTTGAACAAAGCAAACAATTTGAGAATGTCTCCCTCTGAGGAATTGTCACAGGATTTTATTGTTTTTTGACATTTTAATGACTAATATAATATATAATCAAGAAAAAATACATTAACAGATAGTGAAAAAAATTATTAGTTGCAGCCCTACTATGATGCAGTATACTCTTTGTATTTAATTTTCTTAAGTATCTCCGTCTGTGCTTGCATGTGTGTTTACATGGGCCTATGCGTCCAGTATGGAGATGGCAAGAAGCGAAGGAAGCCAAACTACAGCAGTGTGGATCTGTCTGAGGTGGAATGGGAGGATAAAGATGACACGGTGAGACACTTGTAATAAATCTACACTAAATATCATCACAGCACCCCTCTCAGTAAAAATCTGATGTTTGAGATTTGATATGTGCTTTGTGCTACTAGCTGAGAAATGCCATGGTCAACAGGAAGACAGGGACCTTCTCCATGGAGGTGAAGAAGAGTGTTGACAAAGGGGTGAGGAATCCAAAAATTCAGAAATGCAGAAACACACAAAAACAAGCACTTTTCTTAGGGTCCAAAAGGGTGTTCCAGGGAAAGTACTCAGCAGGGAGAATCCACTCTTCCAAGGGGTTGTTACACTTGGCACAGTGATGTACAGGATTGACTTGGGGATTTTGTTTCAGATTTTGTTTGCTCTGCATGCATGGGTGTGTGACTGTCTGTGTGTGTGAGCCCCTTATCTCCACCAAGCACATGTTGCTGAATACGGGAGAGACAGCAGCCCACTGAGTCTCTTTTACTACTTGCCTGTCTGAGAGAGAAAGTATTCAGGTGTGTGTGTGTGTGTGTGTGTGTGTGTGTGTGTGTGTGTGTGTGTGTGTGTGGCATGCCTTTTTTAAAGCTTAGTAAAGAGCATTTTACATTAGCCTGATTATTAAGCATTCATTATGTATTTACACAAATACACACACACTCAAATGTATGTTCACAATCTTCATCAAAATACATACAAAAACACACATCCATCTGCAGAGTAACATGTCATGTGGCAGACTGCCAACCAAAGCATGTACTCCCTGCACCACTAGATGGAGCCAGACTGCAGGGAATCACATCAGATAACTGCCATTGCACTGCCTGATGTTTAGTGTAGCATATAATGAAATGTATTAATGTCTTTTATTTCAGAAACGTGTGCTGGTGTTGCATAATGATTACTACTACACAGACATCAAGGGGACTCCTTTCAGGTAAGAAGGATAATGTTTCTGTGAGCAGTGAACAAAGTTTAGTATGACTGAAGCGTCTGTATTCCCAATTGTCTTTGCACAACAAAGAACTGGTGAGAAAATATTTTTTTCTTACTTTTAGTCTAGGGGTAGCTCTTTCCAGAGGCCACGGGAAGTTTTTCTTCAGAGGGAATGTCACAGTGGAGGAAGGTAGGAAATTTGTCTTCTCTGGTTTACTCACTTTTACTCTTTCGTCGTCTGTGTCTCTCACTCAGCAGACACATCTTTACTCAGCTGCAGTGGTGCAATGTTTCCAGATACTTTACTGAAGAAAGTAGTAGCAATACCACATTGTACATATAATACAACATAATGTACTTGTTAGAGCAATTTATAGAAAATAGGAATTTAACATAATTCATATTTTGTAGTATTTAATTTTATAATGATAAGCACTTCAATTAATTACTACAGTCAGCCATGCCCTGTCATTGCTTACAATGTATAACAAGTTGTCTGAGCTTGTTAGTTAATTTAGTTAAAGCTATATAGCCTGGTGAACTTGTTTATTATTAGTCATGTTTTGTATTTTTTGATGCAGAAAGTTTCTTTAGTAAATGTTTGAAACAAAGAACATTACCTAAGTATTTTAAGAATAAGTACCCCTTTTAGATCTTTACATTATTATATTTTAGGATTGTTAGTACTGATGGATTAAGATCTAAGCAGTATTATACTGATGTAGCTTGTTGACTTGGAAGTAAGTTTCTGTTCATGTGTACATATGCTCTATACACACACACACTCAATAGTAATGTAGTGATAATGAACTTAAAAGCCACAATTGGACAGGAAGTTAAATATTTCTTTAAAAGCTCCTTAGATGTGTTTTTCGTGTTCCGTGTGTATGTCTGCCCCTGCCTGTATGTGTGCCTCTGTGTGCATGTGTGTCTATTTTCATGTCCAGCCTCATGCATGTTAATATTCATGTGGTGGTGGTGGTGGTGGTGGTGGTGTGTGTGTGTGTGTCTGTGTGTTTTTCTAAACATGTCCATCATGTGGAGCCCTCTGAGCATGACTTGGCTCTTCCTGATCTAATCAGACCTGTCACATCCATTCAAAAAACACATTTTTCACCCCTGGTGTGTGTGTTTAAGAGTGTGTGCATTTAAGGTGTAGATGCCTACCCCTATTATTATGAGTTCATATTGAGTGATTTTGCTGATTTAGTTTGAGGTATATAGTTCTTATTTTGTTACAGGACTTCATGACTTGGAGCATCCTGATGTAGCGCTGGCAGACGAATGGTAAGAGTATATTGACACTGCTGTGTGTTTCCATTCAGACAATATCATCCTCATCCCTTATTCAAGTGACATAGTGATTGATGTCTATCCAAAATAACTCCCTAATTATGAAATTAAAGAAAACAATAATCTTACGACAATTAAACATTTATATAACAGCTTTGGGATCTGCAGGACTTTGACTTGATGGTTTGTGTCACTTGATGACTTGTGGTCACCAGGATTGGGAACCAACATCTAAACAAATTACTATAAATGCTTTTCAAACTAATGCTTGTAAATGGGGAAACCTTCTTTGTTTTACTTCACATTTTATTCATCATAGATGCCTTGCTATTCAAAAGTTAACTAAAAGCGACTGGAGTGATCATGCTTGAGTTGTGATTGCAGATAATCATCTGAAAAAACTCAGTTTTCAAATAGATGGTGCCAATTATGACTGTGTTATTATAACTAATGTCCTTATTGTCCGTTCTTGTTATATTGCAGGACATATTGCAACACAGATGAGCACCCAGAGCACCGCTACCTGTCCCAAATAGAGGCAATCAAACTCTACCTCAGTGGTTACGAACCCCACCTACAATGTTAGTTAAACTCATCTACAAACCCCACATTCCCCTCTCTGCTCTTAAAATTAAATGTTTCTCATGTGTTGTGACTGATTGGTGAAAAACTTGCCTTGGTAGGTGACAAGGAGCTGATTCAGGAGGTTCTCTTTGATGCGGTGGTGACTGCGCCTTTAGAGGCCTACTGGACAAGCCTTGTGCTCAACAAGTCTGAGTATGTCACTCATTCTACTCTTCGTTTTCCAAGATGCTACTGACAAAATTTAACATCTAACATAATTTGACAGAAAACCAAAAACTTATGGTTCTTGTAAGAGCTTCTGTTCTGTTTTAAGGATGCTGATAGCAAACTTAACAAATGTTTACTGTACTTATGTGTCATACTGCACAGGAACTCCGATAAAGGGGTAGAGATAGCCTACCTGGGTACAAGAACGGGCCTGTCCAGAATAAACCTGTTTGTGGTGCCTGATGAACTTACAAACCAGTAAGTATGCTGAGGGTCTGTATGATTCAAGAATTTCTTTATTATCTCAAGGGCAATTTGTTGTACAGAGAGTTAACTGCATGACCACATAACTATCAGACAACAATAAGCCAACAATAAACAATAAGTACAATACAAAGATCACATCGAATGTACACAGATATATGCTTAGGAGTGTATGAGTTGATTGTCTCTTTGTTTATTATTACATTAAGTATAATGTTTTGTGTGTGCATCCTCTGTATCATCGTCACCTCTGTTTTCTGTCTGCTTCAAGAGACTTCCTGACAGCTGAGGACAAAGAGGGGGTGTTTAACGCCGATCACTTTCCCCTGTGGTACAAGAGAGCAGCTGAACAAGTTCCTGGTACCTTTGTCTACTCTCTACCTTTCAACACAGGTTAGTTGTAAATCAAAATTTTCAAAAGCGTAATAAAGTCAGTTATTACTTTAAAAATATTTTAGTTCTACACAGTAGCCATTGATGGTGTAATATAATGAAACAGACCACTAATTGTCTAGATGTTTACTGAAACTGAAGATAAAATACATTATAAGATAATTCAAAAGAAGCTTACATTTAGCTAAATTCACAAATAAAACGTATGCTCACTTGTATTAGAAAGACCTTTTTTTTCATTTCCTCCGTCTCCTCTTTTCCTCTTTCCCCCATATTTGGTCGTTTTCTCTTGCCATGCATCTCTACCTCCCCTTCCTCTCTTATTAATTCTGGGCTGTGTTCTTGTGGACAGGACTGATTGCTGTGGGTGAAATAAGATATGTTAGGAAGAGGTTCAGCCCTTTCCATAGTGACTTGGCCAGAACACACACACAGAATCACACACACACACACACACACACACACACACACACACACACACACACACACACACTTGCACTTCACGCATATGCAGTTTAACTATGTCTCTAAGAAATGGTTTCTCCTCCAAAGGGAGAATGTGTTCTCATCTGTCCTCAGCCTCAGGCTTTCCATTAGTGCCAGCTAATACAAGTGATCTGAAAGCCTCTTATTTACTCGCCGGACTTGCCTTGGATGCACTCTTCCTCTCAGGACTGTGGCAGTTAGCTGTAGCCATGAAATAGTACTCTGTGGTATTTATGTTCAGTATTTCTCTCTCCAATCACCCTGTGGTCAGTTCAGAACTAATATAAGGAATTATGATATGCCTCTAATGTGAACTCTGTATGCGTGTGCCTGTGTGTGTTGTGTACGTGTGTGCTTTTTATGTGTGTGGCTTAGGATCAGAAAACAAGAGTGTTGTATTGGCCAGCACTGCCATTCAGCTTCTGGATGAGAGGAAATCGCCCATAGCTGCGGGTAAGTGGGGACTCAAGTGGCTCTTTCTTTCTCACACACTTCTACATTGACATAGGCTGCAATATTCCCTTCCTTACAATGCTGTGTAGACCTTGTTTTCCTGGTCTACAGTTCTCTCCCCCTACTCCTTTTCTTCTTTTCTGAGTTGAAACACTCACTGCCTACATATACTGACTGTGCTGCTATTTTTTATCCGTGTGTTTGCCCCTGCATGAATATATGCTCAAAAGAAGACGAGAGTGCAACATGGCGCCGTTTGCATCCAAGAGTATTTATGCCTAAATATATTAATAGAAACCAGTTTCATAAACGCCTTTTGTGCCTCCCTTTTTTTTTTTTTTTTTTTGTGCTTATTTAGGCATATTGTGGCCTAGAGGATTTCATTGTGGCCAGCCTCATCTCACGTCCTGGTGACTCAGAAGCCCCACAATGTCACGCCCATATAATGCAACTTGGTGCAATCAGCAAGTTGATGGTATGAATTGCCGGCCTTGTTCTGTTTGCCATCAGCTTGGTTCCGGACAAAAGGAACTGTAGATTAAATGGAAGAAATGGGTAAAAAGCGGCAACATAGAGTTATGGTTTGACAGTAGTTGTGGTTTTGTTTTTTGTGATATAACATCCTTCCTAACCCATCTCTCCCCAAAGGCAGTTTTGTGTATCTTGTAACTAATGCAATATTTTAACAGTGGTACTGTGCAGTACAGATGAGGATAAAGTAAAAATAGAAGATAAGAGAATAGTAAAAATATACATATATAATATATTTTTGTTTTCAAGTGATTCACATAAATACATTTGTAAACACCTTGTTTGCAAAAATCTGAATATTTATTACAGCTTCGGACACATTGAGCAAATTACAAAGATACAAAGTTGTTAAAATATACATATACATAGGTAAGCAATGTGTTCTGTTCCTTGCTCAGTTTTCTTCCTCAGGCAGCTATCTTTGCAGTAAGGTGCCTCAAACTTTCTTTATGTTTATACTTTGTATTGAAAGTCCTATTTTTTATATTGATAGCTTAAGTAATAGCACAGTACAAATGTCTTGAATGAACAAATTATTCTATTCAAATACAGTATTGTAATCCTTTCCACCGCCCAACACATGTGGCAAGGAACTATGTGGAGCAGAGCTTTTGCTTCATATTAAAAACGTCTTCTGATGATTATCTATGTAAGTTCTCCTGTCAACAGATGAGAGCCATTAATGCCAGTAGAGGAATCACAGAAAAAGATCTGGACAGAGGAAAGAAGAAAAAAAACTGAACAAAGGAGAAGGAGGAAAACCTTTTGGAAATGCAGTGATAAAATAAGAGAAGAAATAAAAGGGCAGAGAAAGAGAAAATTATTTCACGGTGCCTGAATGCGTTGACATGAAAGCAGTGCATTGTGGGTACTCTTGGCCTGGGGGAAACCACTGGAGCAGAAGGACAGAGATGATGGGAGAGTCTGTGCGATGCCACAGCACACATGCACACAGAGTATGCATCAGATTTCTAGCAGAGCGGTACACAAGCAGCCCACAGTTTACACCAGCCCACAGTATTATTTGACCCTGTTGACTTGATCACTATTGTTTTAAGGAGAGTATCATTCTCTGAAATCCTGTTTAGCAGCAGTCCAAATGACTAATCGTTAACAAGGTTTCATGAACACCCTAATGTTACATTGGATGCTGATGTACAGTAATGACGATCATGCTTATCAGATCGGGGGATATCTGTAAGGATGAGTTTATATAAGAGAGTCAGATGGGAAGATAGATGTAGGCTAGAATGCAAATTTAGCGTGGGCCGGTTAGGGCCAGTTTTCACTGCCCTGCGCTCCACTGAGCTGTAGACTTGCAAATACACTAATACACTAACTTAACAGGACAGGCTGATGACATCACACACCACGGGCCCTGGAGACATCGCTTGAGTCACAATGTTACCGTGTGCGTACATAGACACGCGTGCATGCCAGCGTGTTTGTATGTGCCAGTGTTTGTGGTCACATCCTGAGCCACGTGCAGTGAGTCTGTTGCAGTAATATACAGAGCGATAAAACTCAGGTCAGGCGTTAAGACCAAAGGCATCTGTGCACGTTCATGTGACTCCACACTACACTTAGTAAGCTAAATCACAGCTAATGGCAAACTATCAATGTATAGATAATAATAATGGATGCTTGTAATGTACACAGCAAGCTACATTTTTAGTATAGTTTACAGATGACTTGATATTTCATTATATAATACTATAGAATTCCCTTGTGGCAGTACCAGTCAACTCCATCAGACAGAAAAAGAAGGTTGGGCAATATCCCTAAGGAAAATATATTGTCATAGATACGGCTAGATTTTGAAAGTATCCAACCGAAAAAATCCCACCCCCTCCTTCCAGGGCTCCCTCCAAAGCCCCTCCCCCAACACACATTAACACTCTTGACATATCCAACTATATCATGTCTCCTTCATACATAGTTCTACATACCATATAGTTCAGGAAAAGAACAATTTCCCACCTGAACAAAACAAACCAGATGATTACCTGTCCTTCAGTTCTTGCCGTTGTTGAAAAGCCACAGTGATGTTTTTTCTTTTCTTGCTATGCTTGGCAGTGCAAACTGTTGTAGGTATAGATGGAACTATACATTTTGGCGATTCTTTCTCTGCCATTCTTGTGCGACTAGCTTGTTAGCCAGCCGATCATTTCACGATTGGCTGGGCTTATTACAGGCCTGTGACTGCTACAGATGCTATATTTTTTTCAGATTTTTTCGGAGCAAAAATATAAGAAAAAAGATGCTTCTAAAGTATATTACCTTCCCTAGTTTTAAGGAATAGTATAAGTATAATCCACAGTATTTTCATAGAAATATGTGTGTGTTTACCATTTTCTCTTGTCACGTGATTTGACATAATAATTGTTTTACAGAAACGTCCTTAACCGAAAAACTAAAATAAATTTTTCTACTGTTCCAGCAACACATTAAACTGAAAGCAGCGAAATCACCCATGCAATGTCTATTAATTTTAAGATCCCCATTGTAACACCTTAAATTAAGGGTAGTTTCCTTCCTTTTTTTTAAATTGGTATCTTTTTTTTACCAAGGGTTGGCTAAATGTTACATTTCCAGACTTGAGTATTGTTTACTGTAAATTATACTATTTCCTTACATAAACAACAAACAAAGTGACACTTAAACAGCAGAATTCACTCTAAAGTGGACATCTCTTTTTCCAAAATAACCCTTAAAGATACTTTCTCTATTTAAGTAAAGCATACCTTCTCAAATTAGTTGCCAGTATACATACAGCAAACAGGTCAAATGTTAAATGTTTCCCTTTATTTTATATAATACATACTGAAGGACATGACTACCACCGTGTGATCAGCATTAACTTACAAACAAGACTCAACTGATGTCAAAAACTGTAGATCTAAAAGTTTGTGGGTGTGACTTTGTGCAGCAGGATGATAAAAAGTCATAGAAAAACAACAAGGCTGAGTCCAGGTTTTGTTGCTTTCGTTTTAGTTTGTTTCATTATTGCTTCAACGAATTTCCCATCTTCACTTAAGTCGTCAGAAAAATATCCTTTAGGAAAACACATTTCTTCCTCAAAACTATATATCACGTTATTAGGCACAAACTCTTAAGATCTCTATAAATATGTGCATATAGTATACATCTCCACACACATACACACACTCAAGCACACATGAAACACAAAACATACACAAACATCCGTTCTTGTTCTCTTACTCTCACGTCAATGATACAAATAACTTAGAACAGACTGCAGCTGCCTACTATGAGTTTTCAAATTTTTTTTTTTAAATACCAGCGCTTTACTATTATACCTACAAATACACAATTATAAATATATAGCAATTTGTTCATATCTGTGATATGCATTTCTCAGACAAAATGGAATTGATTCCTTTTGGATTCTTTGGCCTACCCCTCGAACCCGCATACAGTAGAAGATACTCTTCTCATCAGTGCATAGTCAAATACCTGTGGAAATTAGCTACCCAAGTCTCAGAAAGGAGGGGAACATACACACATGCGCACACATTAATATACTCGCTCTCTTTTTTTTTTTCTCTCACAAACACACATGCACTAACACACACATGGTATCCAGAGACGATTAGGTTAAAGGGTTGAGGCCCAGGTTTTAAGTCCAGGGTTCACGTTATCATCTCCTAGGCGATAGCATTCTCCAGTGGTTCCTTCTCATCTGCTGTGGCATGATCTGCCCCCTGCGCTGCTGCCAACTCCTCGTTCTTCTTTAGCTCTCGCTGATACTTGGCCATGATAGCAGCGTAGGCGCAGCCATACACTGCTGCAGCCAGCATCATCAGACATACGATCCCACACACTACGCCGGTGATGATCACTGTGGCAATTGCGTGGCGCAAGTTGACAGGCCGGTGCCTCTGCTTAGGTTCACACTCTGGCATGCTCCCTCCCCCTCCTCCTCCTCCCCCACCACCAAAACCCTCCCCCATTGCCATGGGGACATGGAGAGCGTGGCTTGAGGGATGAGCATGGTTGCCATGGGTGTGGCCTCGCAGCAACCTCTCAGATTCCAGGTGGTGTATGTTAGCAAACAGGTAATGGTAGCTTGTGGTCATGCAGGTGTGGAAGAGCTGATACGGGACTTTCTGCAGGTCTCTATCTCTCATTTCTTCTGGCTGAGAGCAAATCACCTCATCCACCACTCCACCTTGGGATCAGAGTTAAATAGTTAGAGTAGAGAGGGATGGCAAAAGACAGACTAACAGACAGAGGGAATAAGGAGACATGCATCAGTCAGTTGTGCACATTACGTGCTGTAAAAAAAAAAAAATATATATATATATATTTTTGCAGCTTACTACAGAGGAGGGCACAATCATAATGATCATAGCTGAGTCTGGAATAGCCCATTGTTTGAGATATTTATTCATCTACGGTGTAATGGCTTTCTTTAATCGGCCATAATAGCAAGTGTGATATGATTA